TATATAAGCATAACGCTACAACCAATCCAACAAAATAATTAAACAAGGCTTTTTTTTTCAGTTTCGAGTAAGCTTCTAAAATTCATTCGCCAGAACATTAGAAATGAACAACAAGAATTTTCATCACTCATTCGGTTTATTTCAATTATTCATTCATCCAGATAGAGTTTGAAATAGAAACCCACAATAAAGAGAGCACATTGCGGCTACACATCGCTCATTTATGCACGTGGATTGTTGTGTATTATTTGATTGAACATCCCAATTAATAGACGAAACATCGCACATGACGACGTAACAGAAAAATCGCACTTGGATTATATTCAGTTCTCATAGATGAAGTTGTGCATACATACACAAGCCAATGTTGGATTGCGTCACTCATTAGCAGCAAGACTAATCCTACACTACACTATACATACACATGCAAACGATCCAGTTTAATCAAATTTTGTCTTTTTTTTCACCAGTCCTTAAATTAAACACAAATGACGAACACGAGAATGTTTAATGCAATTTTGAATGAAAAGCATAATCAATACATTTTGGAACAAATGTTTCACGAAAATCGAAAGAAAATACGAAATCGAATAATATGTAGCGAAAAAAAAAAGGGAAATCAAGTCTGAGAAATGCAACGAACCTGTCATCGCTGATAAAACCTGTAGCTTCATCTCTTTCATCAACAATTTTGTTGCTTATCGATTCATCATTCTGCTCGCTTTTCTGAATTCTATCATCATGTTTGTCGGTAGGTGCTTCCTGTTTTGCATCATTTTGATTTTCTTCATTTTTCGTCCCTCGTTCGGCCTTCTGTTTACGTTTCAATTCGGCAATTAATGCTTTCCGTTCCTTGAATTTTGCAAATTTGCTTTCGATATCTTCATTTTGGGCTTTCAATTGTATGGATATTTGATTCATATTTCACCATATCATTTCATGAGTAACCTCAGAACAACTAACCTTTCTTTTTTGTTTCTTTTTTTGCAAATATTTTTGCCATGGCGTTAGGTCAGAGTTGGACCTACGATCCTCTTTTTCATCAGCATTCTTGCTATTTTCTTCGGTGATCATCTCCTTTGATGCATCGTCAACATGTTCTGTTTTCGTTTTCAACGATATGCTGCTCACATCACCAGTTGTTTTCTTATCATCAACAAAACTCTCGGCATTATCACTACCCGAATAATCTGCAGTGAGCGATGATAGATACTCATCCTTTTTGTGGTCTTCTGCATCGTCATCCTCATCCGAAGAGCCCGGTGCAATCAGATGCCTTCAAAATCATCATCAACAATTATAAACAACCGTTATAATAGCAGCATTCAGAAAAGAAATAATAATTTTTAGTAATAACTCGAGTTGTTCCAGGTCAGCATCTGGCTGAAACGCTTCGTGTTCTGCTTTGATACGCTCTGGATCCGTTTCATCCCACGTCAATTTGGTTGCCGATTTCGATAAGGCAGCACTTTCAAAGAATTTCGGCTTGAATACATTTAAATTCACATCTTCTTCTGTTACACTATCTTTGACCGAATTTTCCTATAAAAGACGTAATTTATCCTCAAATATGTACCAATTAATCAAGGAACGAAAAAAAAATTCTGTAAATAAAGAAATATAATTCAGTTGAAACTAAGAACGGCAATGAACAATAAGATGTGTGTAATAAAGAAATACAGTAGATTATTCACTTCAAACGTCATATTGTCTGGTACGAAACGTAAATCCATGCGCACAGCACTACTCTCGAACTCAACACCATCACACTGTTCATAAATTGTTGCAGCAGTCTGCATTCGATCGCACTCAATTATCGCATAGTAATAACGCATACGATCCAATTGATAAGCTCTTAATGCTTCTCTTTTCCTCCTGAAAATTTTAACTTATCCATTTACGACTACTACTATGAATTGAACACGAAAAAAAATTACACGCTCATAAACAGCTCAAAAAGTCGTCAAGAAAATGACAGACAAGTTTTTGAGAACAACTACGATTAAATTAATCCATAAACTGATTAATTTACTTATCCGATTCCAAAGTGTCATCAATCGCCTCACTGAGTTTTGGAAGCCGTGGACCAATCTTCTCTTCTTCTGCTAACCTCTCCTTTCCAAAATCCGACAAGTAAATTGTCACCGAACGAATTGCTGAAATTCCAACCCTAAATAATTGCTCACAATCCAGAAAAAGAAGAAAGTTCAAGTCTAATATGTAATGTTACCAGCTGGAGGTGGTGGTTTGAAAGAAGAAAGTACGACGTAAATATCATTCGCTGATACTCGATCCCATTCCATATTGCATAACGCCAAACGTTTAGTTGCCCACTCGACACGACTCGCACTTTTATCCAACTCACCCCATTCGTGACTTATTGAATCTTCTTTATCCTACAACACAATCAATTCACACTTACTACAAAACATTGAAATTACTAACAAAAAGATGATCATACATACATAATAATTAATAAAATAATGATAGCAGTTCCGAATAAAACCTCATCAAATTTCCATTCATCATCGGATTCATCACTCGATGTTATATTACCATCACCTCTGGCCAAGTCCAACTTAACTGGTCGATTAATGTCACCAATTTCACTCTCATGATCAGTGCCACTTTCATTACTCGATGACTCACTATCTACATCATATAAACGATCCAATTTATTCCTATTCTCTAAATTCAAACGTCGACCACGCATGTCCACAGAGCACTTCGTGCCAAACTTTGCATCCGACAGCATGCCTTTAAAACTGCAAATACAAATGAATCAATGAATGAATCAATCAAACAAATACAAACGAAAATTTCCCTTGGAAATTGATACCGTTTATCGATGACAACTTTCCGTTCTTTATTGGCCAACGAGTCGAATCGCGGATCACTCAAAACACTTTCGAATCGTTCATCATTCACGACACCTATTTGCTTCTTTTTCTTTCTCGACAGCAACAAACTAAAAGCAAAAATAAATCAGCATTATTTACTACAGACGTATTTAGCATAGTGAATGAAGAAAGACGAATGTTATTCACTCGGAAAAGTATACATCTCAACTGGTGTTACCGTTTCATTAAGTGAAACCTTGCAGACGTTAACAAATATGTGAGTAAAAACGACTGAGAATATACCGTGTATTGCCCTCATTTCCTTCATTTTGCTCCATATTTGCAGTTGTCGCCATCATTCTGGACTGTTTCGAATTGTCAGCCACCCCTACCTTCATGACATCTCGATTCTTTTGACTTTTCTTCGATGTGTTCTTCATGGATTATGATCTCACCTGCTTACTTTCCGTCACCACGGAATAAAGAGATCACTTCTTAAATTGAGAAATCACTCGAATGATGAGAACAATTCAATCACTGAGAACACAACTAATCAGTTTTAAGCGTCAACACCATCGATATGAAGCGTGAAAAAACACGATCTCGAAGGCATAGAACTTAATTGGCTAAATTGTTTCACAGAACTTAAAAGGGTTTCCTCAAATTTCGATGTATACACGATTCCCTGACCAACTCAAAATGAGAGAGATTCTGAAACCTAAATAATTCTAATAAAAATCAACATAATTCCACCAAATTTGGTATACGTACTATTTAACATTTACTGCATTGGGCCTGATACAATCCCCCCCCCCCCCNCAACAACTTTTCAGAAAACACAAACAGTGATGTATACCGTTTAGCTGCTCAGTGTGAACAGCCAACTTCATAATTTTACGCAATACCAAACATATTTTCACAAACTTTGAATTGTATCCCCTTGTCGGTGCTCTACATGAAAATTGCAAACTAAGCCAACGACAGAACTAAACACTCCTCAAAAAATACTGCATAACAAGTCATACATTACCTTTAAAGCTCGATCCTATAACTCGCTCATTATAAGTCAATTGCGCGAACACATATTCTGTCTAGCTGAGAGATCAAAAAACGGTTCTACGATACAATGAACTCGATGATGTTTCCTTTGGAAATTTTGATCGTCAACGATGAAAACAAAGAATTCTGCCTAGTTGAGAGGTTCAAATACAAATAAACAGTCTGCTTGAATACTTGTTTTTGCAAGACGTAACTAAGCAATATACGAGACTGATGCCGAATCGCTCTCTGCGCTAGTAGCTGTAGATAATGCGTGCTAAATTTCATGAAATTATTTTCTAAGGTTCTCAAAAAATACTCAACTTTTACAGAATTATTCAGCTTTGTGTTCAAACAACTCTGATACTCCATACATGAAAGATACGACAATAACGTAGGGTACTATTGCACAATAGGGTGAACGCGTTTGGTCGATCTGAATCCCCATCAAGACTATCATCCCTGAAATAATGCACAAAATCACTATCGAATAGCAAAGTATAAGCATAGAGCTTTCCCCTCAGTTTGATTCTAAGCCTAAGTCTCAACTGGAATCAAAACCGTCCAAACATTCAACCTGTCGTACAATAGTACTGCCTAATATTGTCAACGTTTGCTGTCAACGTTGATGCCAATCAATCTTCAGTACTCAAACATTTACCACTTGCCCATATCATTCATTCTCTTCTCGAATATATCTTTCCAAATCACCGAAAACTCAAACAGCACCAAAACCAATCAACAACAACACAACGACAACGATAAAAATGACCAAACAACAACTGATCACTTCAGCACTTTAAAATGACTGAATAATCGATTACTCAATGATAGAAATATATCGTTGGAAAGATTGAGAGTTGAGATTGAAGAAAGAACGATTTCTGGTCATGAAATTCAAACAATAAACAAACAAAAAAAAACAACACAGAAGATGCATACAATCAATATTATCGTAATAACAGTTAGCTTCCCACTGCTCTCAACCAAA